TACATCAAAGAACAAAAAAACCCCCATAAAACCAAATTAAAAGCCAAATATTCGAAGCTGTGTGTCAATTAAAATTTTCTTAAAATCATCCCTACCTAAAATCCTCCCTAGGTCAGGCCCGCTTGCTGGAAAAGCCATGTCTTGAGGGCGCGGCGGAAAGTAAGGAGATCCGGAATCATCCGGATCTCGGGGGGTAGTTAAGTTTCCACCCATTTTTCTTCTAATTTCTTTATAACTGTAGCCTTGTTCACTTAATAATACTATTTTACATCGCTTTCTGGGCAACCAGTCAACTCTTTGCACCATTACTTTAATTTTATTACGTTTTACAAGCTCACTAAATGAAAGGAAAAAAAACCCAACCAACTTGATAGCGATCACATAACACACTGACAAATGTCCTCTCAGCTTCAATACATGACATCAATAACTGAACCCTACTGTGATCTGATTGGCTCATTACCAAAACAAGATGACACCTGATTGGCTCTCTAAACACTCATGCTCATTGGCTACAATCAGATGAAGGAAAGCTATCTAATATCAACCTAAGCAAATTGTGCTTCCTTTTTCTGGTTATTTTGCTATAACTTTTCACAGAATACAGTACAGCTAATTGAACAAACTTTGTTGCATTACATTCTTGATTAAATTATCTTTCCATTGATATATAATTTTATGGTACTACTCCCCCCAAAAAGAGGTGTTATTAGCCATCAAACCTCAAAATTACACTTTTCCCAAAAGGTTTCCACAATTTTGGCCACTACTGTACATTTCTTGTAGAGATTCGGTTGTTTTCCTTGGATCTCCACGATTTGCCTTTTACAGTAAGAATTCGGGAGAGTTCATTAGGATCTGAGATGAATATTGTGTGGGGTCCAATTAATTTGATATTGCTCTTTTAAAATATTCCTTAAAAGAGCTAGCTTAAGGCTTGGTTCCAGTAAATTGTTTGTTTGCTTGCCTGCCTCCCTTTTTCACTGAGATCTGAGGGAGATGTTATCCAACTGTTTATTCCTATGTACCCCAACACACTTGAAAAAAGTGACATAAATATATGAGAATGTACTGAGAAAATATGAGAAAAGGTATTTTTCCCTGGTGATAATGATATAGACAACAATAATTCAGGAAGGTTTGGTTTTGAAATTAGAGTCTAGGGATTGGAAGAAAGAGTTCAGGGCCCAGGCTGTAAAATATTGTCACCTTGTGGCGTACTTTCTCTATAGGTTCATCTAACCTGTGAAGCATTTCCTACTTGAATGGCCCTGGCACTGTTGTATAGCTGTAAAAACTTAGCTCTTGCAGCAGGCCACTGGGTAGTGCATAATAATTTATTCCCTGATTATCTATTCTAATGAATATAGAATACAGTATATGTTGCTTTTATGTTTTCTTAACCCTAGTAAGTAAGGTTACCTACTTACTGCCTAGAATTACTTCATGACTGAAGCAGCATATAAATAAATGCATAACCAATTAGAGATATGTAGTGAATGGGTGCTTTATTAAATGCATACCTTTACAGGTATGCTATTCTATAATTATCTGGTTACACTTTACACTTGTTTGACAATTTGAATGAAACATTAAGGTCACTGTCTCTAAAGTAAGGTTCCTGAAGCTGACTCCTGCGAAATATATTTCTGCTGTTGCCATTCCATTTTTGTAAACCATAATAAGCAAAGTTCCACAATCTGGTGTTTTTTTTTTAAACTGTCTCGGACTCATTTAATATATTGGTGAACGATTTCACCCTGCTGCATCAAATCAAAGATCTATTTTGTTCAGCATGTTTCTGTCAACAGTTATACTTAATAGTGAACTGTCACATATCAGTTGTGTGAAGGAAATGTTTCCTTTTGTTTGTCCTGGGTTTACTGCTATCAACTACATTGGGATGCCCCAGGTTCTAGTATACAATAGGAAATCTTTGATCTGTCCATTTTTTCCCAGTATTAATTTGTAAATGCTATCACATCAAATTCTTTTGGCTTTCGAGTATCCTTCTGTGGCAAGCTCACCAATCTCCTATCATTTTATCTACTGTTTTATGCTTACCTATTCAGCTATGTGGTAATTTTCTGCAGTGGGATGACCCAAGAAGCGTCCAGTTTTCCAAATGCCTATATCATATATTGTTCTTGTATAAAATAATTACAGTACAGAACATTCAGTTCTTTTTAGATGATCCGTGACATTTTTTTTTGTCTGAGCAGTCACCTCTCAGCTTTATTATCTTTCTTCTATTTGCTCAGCTTCTACTTAAATCCCATCAGTATATAAATAACATATTTGTTTTAATCTACATCTCTTAACGTTCATTTTGAACTGTTTGATCTTTAGTTTCCTTATGCAGAAAAATTTGCTACTGAAACAAACAAAAAACAAAAGAACTGCTTTGTTGATTTGTGTATTATAGATATATAGCAATAAAGTTATTTTTTTTACTTTATCTATTTCACCATTGTTCTGTATAATTTATGAAAAAGTAGCTGTCTTGTACCCTTGAGGAATGCCTCTAAAAGAGAGGTTCCCAACATTTTGGGCATCAGGGACCGGTTCTGTGGAGAAAGGTTTTTCTGTGGACCGAAGAGTGCGTGGTTTTGTGTGCTGCCTGCATCCCACGGATGGGGCTTCGCTTGTTTGTGCAGACCGGTTGCTGGCATACTGTGGCCCAGTACCGGTCCATAGACCGGGGGTTAGGGACCCCTGCTCTAAAATATAAAAACTGCTTATTTTCACTTTATATCTATTTCTGTTGTCACTGATTGTTAACCCAAATTCTATCATCTTATTCTATTACTGTTGCTTATGGAATGCATTCTGAGAATACACGTAGTGCTCGACTTATGACCACATTTGGGATCAGAAATTCCACACCTAAGTGAGGTGGTCCTTAAATGAGTCATGTCCAATTTTATGATCATTTTTTGTTACATTAAAAAAAATCACTGTGGTTTTTAAGTGGATCACACAGTCATTAAGCAAATGTTGCTTTCCCCATTGACTTTACCTGTTGGAAGCCAGCTGGGAAGGTTGCCAATTGTGACTGCATGACTGCAAGGCACTATAATTGGTTGTAAATACAAGATGGGTTGCCAAGCATCTGAATTGTGATCATGTGACCATAGGGGTGGTGCAAAGGTCATAAGTGTGAAGACCATCATAAATATGAGGACTGGACTTTTTTCCAGTTCTCTCATAATTTGAATGGTCACTAAACAAATGGTGCATGTCGAGAACTACCTGTATATTATTAAATCAGTTTGACTGAATTAGCACCAAAAAAAAATCCTGTTTGCAGGAATCTGCCAAAAGCTTATCTTAATAATAATAATAATAATAATAATAATAATAATAATAATAATAAAAAAGTTGGAAGGGACCTTGGAAGTCATCTAGTCCAACCCCCTGCTCAGGCAGGAAACCCTACACCATTTCGGACAAACGGCTGTCCAGTCTCTTCTTAAAAACTTCCAGTGTTGGAGCATTCACCGCTTCTGGAGGCAGGTTGTTCCACTGGTTAATTGTTCTAACTGTCAGGAAGTTTCTCCTTAGTTCTAGGTTGCTTCTCTCCTTGATTAGTTTCCATCCGCTGCTTCTTGTCCTGCTAACAATGTTTGGTAAGATGTAGTAATGAGAGCCAACACTGGAAAAATGGAGGTAGAATTTTTTAAAACTATGCTATAATTGGTTTTACCCTATCAATGTTCCACCTTTGGTAGGAGGAAAATTTAACTCAAGGTGAGGAATTTTGAACCTTGTGTTTTATGACAAGGACTCTTCCTTGTTTCATTGATTCCGTCTTTTTTGTACAATAGCTCAAAGTTTTGAGGGCTAGTTTGTTCTAGCGGTTAAAGTACCAGTCTAGAAAGCAGGAGATTATCTCCATGCAAAAAATGACAATCTGCACATACCTTCTTGTTGTGAAGCTTTCTTGAGAAAATTATATACTACACAATTAATAAAATGATGTATATATTATACAATAAAATTATATATGAGTAATGAGTACAATTAGGGATTCCTCTTTATGACTTTCATTATAATATTGATTGACTGGTTGATTTACTCATTATTCAAGATATTTGTAAGGATGCTTTTTTCTGTCTGGCCCTCTCCTGAATTTTAATTTTGTTTATCTAGCTGTAGGAAATGCTGGCTTTATTGGTGCTGCTTACAATGCTCCTGGAGGATATATCCCTTCATTTCACAAAAAAGAGGTTGGTTCAGCAGGTCAAAGGATACAATTAGCACCTCTTGGTCCATCAGTTACAGGTACAAAATGATCTTACTTAACATTGTGCTGAAATAAATAAAATTACATAGCTTTAATTTCTTCATCTGTTGTGCTTTTTAAAAAATGATTTGGGTTGGTACTTAGGTAGGTAGATTTGCTGAGTTGTACTCAGGATATAATGTATTAAATTTATATTAAGCAAGATTTAATTGGAGACTCGTATCTATCATCATCATCATCCAAAAGTTAATTAACCTTCCTTTTCCAGAACAAAATTTGTTTCTTTCCAAATCCATAGATAAAATGTCATTTTGACCCGTCTTTAGCATTTATTTAAAATACATCTGTGAACAAACGTCCGCTGGCTGGGAACTATTTTGTTAAGTTTGGAGCTCAGTTTTATTTTCCTTTTTTAATATGGCCCCTTAGGAAATAAAAATGCACACATTTAGCAATACACATATACAGTAGTGTGTTACATGCATGCATTTATTCAGGAAGGAAAACATCAAGGATGGATTTTAGCTAGGATTAACGAGATGTGGAAAGTGGACATTGTACACCTTTTGTCTGTGTTGTAAGATTTTTTTCCTGACTGTTCTTCATTGGGAGGCCTCATTTTTCTTTTGGATAAATATACTCATTTCTTTTGCCATTGGCAAATTCCAAAATACTTCCAGTGCTTCCTGTTAAATATATCCCAAATGTTAATATACAGTAGCAGATACACATTGCATTGTATTAAGTTGTTATTCTATGATTCAAGAATAATACAATATTTGGTTTAGAATTGCAGGACAATTAATTGGCCCTTATTAGATGGGCAGACATAGCAGTGCAGTCAGAGTCCACAAACAAGACTGGCATTCTCACTATAATCTTGCCTATTTGTTGTAGTTGCTTGCACCATTTCATTCCTAGACTATTTTATGTTCTTCTGTTCAGGATAGTATAAATTTAATTGGATTTTTTTATCTTGAAAAATGTTTACATGTCAAAGGGAAAAAGGTTCATGGCAAAACCCAAGTTGAAACCCCATGTTTTAGATAGATAGATAGATAGATAGATAGATAGATAGATAGATAGATAGATAGATAGATAGATAGATAGATAGATAGATAGATAGATAGATAGACAGACAGACAGACAGACAGACAGACAGACAGACAGACAGACAGACAGACAGACAGACAGACAGACAGACAGACAGACAGACAGACAGACAGACAGACAGACAGACAGACAGACAGACAGATTAGAGAGAGAGAGAGAGAGAGAGAGAGACAGACAGACAGACAGACAGACAGACCTTTATTGTCATTGTGGGCACAATGGCACACATTCAAAATGAAATTTAGTTGCTTGCTCTCAAAGTGTACACGTACATAACACACATTTAAACATACTATATACAACATATGTATAGACCTACACCGTTACATATAAGTAACATATAAATATTAATCACTGTCCATCTTGAATACATAATGGAAGGAGGAAGTGACAATTTTGTTGGAAAATGTGTCTTTTACTGACTCGCTGTTGCAGGTGGTTCGTTATCTCCACCTGGATATAAGGGCTGTGGAAGTGGATTTTTAGCAAGAGATCATGGACCCAGGGTGTAGGCAGAGCAGTCTTGAGGTAGGGAACCTCGGAACAGCAATATGAAGTGACAAGACCTGACTATTTTACTCTGCTTGGTCTTTTTTTTTTAACAGTAAATGAGAAAAACACATTAAGTTTACTATGCATATTGAGGGAAATTTAATAGAACTGAATTTCCCCATTCCAAGCGAATTAGTCAACTGACGTTATATGCAAAGAATATCCATTTCTGTACTGTTCAATTCATAAATAAACACATTAGTGGCTCAGCACTTCAATAAGTCTCCATGGTGTACTAACGATCATCATTTTGAAATACAAAATGAATTCTTAAGTCTGATCTTCAGAAATGCAGTTAACAGTGGGATGTTTTGCCTTGTAGATGGGATGGTTAACTTTTTTGAAGGAAAGGAAAAAATAGTTACTTTATAAGTTACCCAGTGAACAGGGACAGCTTGCCCATTGCATGTCTGTAGTATAGAAGAGCTTCATCCACCAGATTTGTGCCTACCCCCAGTTCAATTGTCTCAAAACCTTTTTAGAAAGGTCATCTTTCATTGGAAAATAGGTCTTTCTTCTAGTTCATTGTGTCATTTCTTTAGCTTTTCACAAAGCTACTTTATTTTTGTTTTCAACTTTTCTTTATTTACTTGTCAAAGCTTTCTGCCATTTGTGAGACAACAGTGCAGTTATGAAGCTAAAGTAGAAATTGATAACAACTCTTGTTAAAATGTTGACCAACAATGGGAAGCCATGTCTGCAGAACACTGTCTTGATAAATAGTCATTCTGTGATCAGCATCTGTGTGCAATGTAGGAAACATGATACAGCTCCTTACACAGACAATGCGCTATTCATGTCTAGGAATCATCTAAAACAGTGGTTCCCAATCTTTATGGCTTTGTGGACTGGGGGGGGGGGAAGGAGATAGTTCTGTGTGAGCAGCAGGCAAGTGCTTGTGCAGCACCATTTGTGTGAGCAGCGGACACAAACACAGGCAACTTGCATGCACTCACCCAGTTCTGAATGGACTGCAGCCTGGGGGTTGGGAACCCGATCTAAAAAGAACAGATGACAACTACCAGTAAGAATGGGCTGTGTTCACTCTGACCATATCTGACCGTAGTTTGAAAATCGTTTCTAAGATTATTTTGGTGGAAATTGTAAATCAGAACACAGTTCAAACTCTTTTTCAAACATATAGTAGTTCTCTGGACTCTTTCATTTGGGTGATTAATAGATGACAGCGTTACTACTTTTTTTTTGTCACACATCTATATTCGAAAGCATATCTTTAGTTCCTGATCATGCTGCTGTTTCTGAAGTTTTTGCCAGTGCTTAGTATGTAGAATCACAGATGCTTTGGACACTTTCTTTATCCCTTGTCAGTCTGTATCTGATTGGCTGACTTTCTGAGCTCCATAATCTACTGTAGCTATAGTAATGAAAGCTTACTATGACTGTAGAGACAATAATATCTTTCAACAATAAATGTATTTCTTTCCCTTATTATTATTATGATCTATAACCTTTTTGGAATATAATTTTATCTATTGCATAAAGAACTTTACTTGGAAGAATATGCTATGAATTTTAGCTGGATTCTGTTTAATAGTGAAAGAAGTATTAGCAGGATTTACAATCAGTGGATTTGCTTGTATTGGTTTTGTAATTTTGTTTTCAGAATATGCTTGGAAAACCAAGGCCTCTCGTGCCCAATTGCCAGGACCTACTTACAGCCCTGCTACAAAAGGCATGAACATTTTAACTCACCCACCAGCAGCGCAACCTGTGCATGGAAGAACTGACTGGATAGCCAAGTACGGAGGGCATCGGTAAAAGTACTTTTCTGCATCACGTATGCATACTATGACTATTTATATCCTTTATTTCTTTGCCTCTGGGACACTTTAAATCATATTTCAACTAATAGAATAACAATTCTGGAAACACACGAGAGCCTGTAGTTTATTATCTCTAAGGGGAAAATATAGAAAATAAATACATTTATTTAGAAAATATTCTTCAAATTAGTGCCTCTAAGGCAGGTTTTTTTTTTTGGTTTTGCTTACATTATGAAGTATTCTCTATAAAGTTACCTTGCCAAAGCTAAAAATTTGTATATTCTTACTTAAATGAACAGAGAATGGTTTGCAATCCCTTTGATCATTTCTTCTCAAAAAATGTCAAAAATATGAAGGCATGTAAAGATATTAGCCATTGGACAATCATGGCTAATTTGAATAGGGCAGTAAATTATAAAGAATGACTTTCAAGATATGATGCTTCTATAACACCGAGTTAAGGAATAAAAGCAAAAAAAATAGTAATAGATTAATTTCCCACTGTATTGCCCAACAATAATCGGAGAAACTAAAGCTGAACTAATTTGTCTTTGATTTGGGTTGACTTATACCTTTATTTCTTTTGATTGCAGAGAATGAAGACATAGTCACTGAGCCAACTATTACTAGTATTTACAAAAGTGGTGCACCCCTAAGGTTCAGTTCTATTTTAGATTTTGCAGGACTAGGATTATCCTTGTATGTGATTCCTGTGAATGTATATGTGTTAAACCATTTTCCTTTGATCGGTGAAGAACCTGTCTCTGGTTATGACTACGGAACTTATAGGTGGGAAAGAAAGGTATCATATGCTATGCATTGGTCCTGGTTCCAAGAGCTTACAGGCTATCATGTATTGCATAGACATAGTTAGATACATATATCAACTGTTACTATTGATTCTGAAAGGAGGGAAACTTTTTTTTGCAGAAGTGTTTGGAAAACAGAAAGTCAATGTATCTGTGGAATCATTTACTTGAGGTTGTCAGATTTGGCCTGACAATTGGAAAATATTATGAGTGAATGATATTTAGGAAGGATACTTTCCTGGGAAGGCTAGATAGCATTATTTAATCAGAAAAGAAGCATTTAAATAATTATTACTTGTGGCTCTCTAAGAAGGCATTCTGGCGGTATTTCTGAAATAATTTCCAAGAAGTCTGAGTAACTTTGTAACTTTGCTTTTTCCCTAAATTATTTTTAGTGGAATTTGATCACAGAATTAGTCAACTTAACTGTAGTGCCTTCACTTGGTAACTAGAGCTGAATAACTCCAGAATTCTCTTTTTAATTCCTAAAGGAATTGCTTAAATCTGGTAATATCTGCCAGAATTTACTCTTCAAACCTAATTTTGTAGTATAGCATTGATAGCATTATCTGGCCTAAAGAAATATTTTGAATATAAGTACACAATGGCCCAAAATTGTCCTGGTATTTCAAGTTCATATTTTTAGTGATTTCTCTAATATATAAGAACTCTTGCTTTATCTAACAGAAGTCACTTTAAAACAATGCTTTTCAAACTGCTAAATATATTTGTTATATTGAAATTGACAATCTATACTTGTTAAAATAGCACTTATATATTATTATTCAATTGTAAAATATTATTTGCATACTGAAAAGTATTTTGTATGTGTTTTATTTTTAAAAATTGTACACTATTTTTGTTGTGGAGGACATATTTGATTTGAATTAAGACTTAAAGTAGAATGCACATAACTATGCTGTCTCAATTTCAGTAGGATTTACTGCTAAGTGTATTTACACAATGAATCCTTGAATTAATAATATAACGGCCAATTAATATTATTGAATAATTTTGAAAGTTACTGTTATGTGTACAATATTTTATCCCAATGCAGAATAGCAGGAATATTAAACTGATTTATTTCAGTCTCTCAAAACTTACATAATTCACTGTTATAAATGCTGTCTTAAAGGAATCTACCTAAAAGTTTCATATAAAAAAATCCACAAAGTTGCTTTTGCAACTGGGCTAGTTTTCAACTGAAAATAATTTGTTTTATTATAAAGTGAACTTCTCAGGAACACCACATATATTATAGAAGTCTTCCATCAGAAAATGCAATGTATTTATTTATACCTTAATATTTGTTTGTACAGTCTGATTTTCTATCCTGGTATTTTGAAGCTGGTTGGTAGACTAAATAAATAAAAAAATACAACCAACAATTTATTCATATAAAATATGTTTATACAAATAGAAACTAAAGTAATTTCTAGCCAGCTTAAAAGGCTGACCGAAGAGGAAAAACCTGATTCCTTTCTTATAAGCAGAAAAAAAAAGTCAAGTGTAAAATCTGCAGTAATGTTCCATAGCCTGGAACTGATGGAATAGCATCCTCCTATGTGCCTGATAAATGGATTTTGGAAGTCAGACATTTTGTGAAGTCTTCTCTGCTGATCTTTAAGGCCCAGAGAGAGGTAATCTGTCAGATTATCAAGCCTAAATCATATTAGGTTTAAGAAGTTAAAAATGCCCTTAGAATGGCACCTGGAAAATAATTAATCAGTGCATTTTTTCAGTACACCCAAGAGTAATCCTGGTATCATGATTAGCAGCTTAACTTTCTGCCTTTTGCACTAACTAGTCTTGAAAAATAGCGCTAACTAGGATTTACTGTAGACATGTAAATTAGTCCTGATGAGTGACCTAAAATAAAGTTTACATCGGTGATGTGAAAAAATTACTACCAGATAGTGGCTCTGGCAAAGAACTGATTTTTTGCTTAATTTTATTAAAACACGAGTGTTTAAAAGTGTTTTCTCCAAATATACTCAACATTTGCTTTTGCTGAACTGAGGCTTTCTTCCTTAAAATAAGAGATGGAATTCTATACCGAGAAAGAAGGCCTTGCCTGTGCTTAAGTTAATCTGTGCTCTTGCTCTTATCCAATAAAGCAGGAGCCTTCAAAGTTGGTCCTTTTATGACTTGTGGACTTCAACTTCCAGAATTCCTCAGCCAGGCACGCTGGCTGAGGAATTCTGGGAGTTGAAGTCCACAAGTCATAAAAGGACCAACTTCGAAGACCCTGCAATAAAGTATTATCAGTATATCAAAATACAGTACAGGTTGTCCTCAATTTGTGATCGGTCATTTAGTTACAACAGACTCTCCAAAAAGCTACTTCTAACCTGGTTCTGAAGGCCGCCCTTCCCTCAATCCCATGACTGCAGGCTTTGGGTGCTTGGCGACCAGCCCCACATTTATGGCTGTATATGCAGCTTCCCACAATTACCTGACTACAATTTACAGCATTTTGTCAAAAGCTGATTTTTACTTCCATTTTTTGACAAAAACATGCCCCGCGGTTAACAATGAGTTTGCTTAACAACCGTGGCAGTTGCTTAATGATTGCTGGGGGAAAAAAAAAGAAGGTAAATTTGGGTTGGTCACACAATGACCCACTTTACCATCATAACTTACAACTAATTAGCAGGCTCTATTATGGTTGTAAGTTGAGGACCACCTGCAATACTGAATTCTGATTTAAAAATGCTTTTAAACACCTCACAGAAGGACATTATCATGTCATCAGACATACAGCGATGAATCTTGTATTACCTCAGTGTTTACTGTTGAAACTAAGAAAGTTCTTTTATACAAGAATGATTTTATTTCTGAGTACATGAGAAAAGTAGAAGTCTACATTTTCAAACTCAAACCATTATTTTCTAAATATTGGGGAAAGGAGATTTCTTTAGAAGTGACCTGTTGATAATTGTTTATATTTTATATACATTATTAATATGACCAAATCAGATGACATTTGAGTGAACTGCTGGGTGTGGAAAGCCAAATCCTACCTTAAACATATATAGCATTCAGTAATTTCAAATGGGATGCCCATTTCTCATAGAGACTCATCTGGCCGTATGAAAACTATCATGTGAAATGTTCTCAAGCTTTGTAGAAGCAGTAGCTTGGACTCTTGGTTTAATTATATCTAAAGTAAAACCACTAAACATAATTAACTTAGTCTTTTTATTTCAATGGGACTACTCTAAGCTTGTTTGTGTCTAATTTCAATTGTATAAAAATGTGAAGAATGATCAGGAGATCTGTGGATACAGATACTACTGTTGTACATGCGTTGGTACGTTCTGAATTAATTCAGTAATATATTTGAAGACAGCTACTCATTGAAAAATGTTGATAAAAATACCAGTCTCTGTTTCCATGTACACATAAAATTAGCCTAATTAGCCTTGAGTCCTAAAAGATTACAACTTAAAATTATTGGAATTCACATTTGTTTAAAATTAGGAAATAAGACTCGCAGTTCAAAAGGCTTTTAGACATTTAATAATTTTTGTTTTGAGTGGAACACCTTACATACAGATATACACAGAGATGAACTTCAGCTTGGAAATATGATAACACAAAATTAAGTGTATTTCCTACAAGGTATTAGCAGCACTGTTTACCGCATTTCTCATGTTCATCATCATAAAACGTTTGGGGTTATGACAAGAAATGCATACATGTAATGACTGACTCTTTACAAAACTGAGCAGATTTTGAAGTTTAAAAACTTTGCAAATTGTACAATTTTAAAAAGCATTTTGTCTTCAGTTTTGTTCTGAATAGGCATTGTCTCTGTAGGCCTCTTTCTGCTTGCTGTTGCACTTATGTTGTTGCAATTATGGCTAAAGAGGTTTTTCCAACATCTGTAGTCCAAGTTTGCCTACCATTAATAGACTGTTTAAATAAAAACAGAAATCCACTATTAATATACCACTTAATAAATTAACGTGTCAGTAAATTTTGCTAGTAAACGCTTACATGTTAAATATGTTATTGGCAATATCTGTGTTTATCCAAAGAAAACCCCCATTCTCTAGTTTTCTGTTGTCTCCAAATAATAATTCCACAACAATGGGAAAATAGGAATTGTACCTGGCACCAGCAATTAACCCTGCAGGCATAAATTTCCTAGAGTTATAGTATCTCATTCCCATCAGGACAGTCAGGGTTCCAGATGCAGCTAGAAAAAAAATATAGTGACCCAAATCAGGTGTTTTAATTATGGCATTTAATGGAGACTATGTGCAACCAAATACAACCATGGTGTCAGGAAAGGGTTGATGCTATAAGAAACCTCCTTTTATGTGGGTATGAATCACACTGCTACTTCCTGCCTTCATAGACTGTTTTCAGAGACATGAATCTGGAATTCTTACTTTATCTCTTCGTTCTGCAATTACTTAGCCTCCAGTGTGCTGCTCTGATAAAACTAATTTGGAATGCAAATTACACAAGTGGAAAAAAGCAGAGGTGCAGCAGTGGGACTGCTCTCAATAAGGCCGGCGCATGCGAGTGAGCAGCACACCCAGGTCTTGAGAGCAATCTTGCTGCTGCTGCATCTCCGCTTCATTTCAGATGGAGCCAAAAAACTCAAGTCGCCGCTGCTGCTGGAGTGGGGAGGATGACAAGGAGAAGAGTGGTCAGGATTTGTGCCAGCCAGCCGGTTAGGCAATGAGTAGGTCGGGCGGGGTGAGTGGGTGGCTGGGGATGGGAGATCATGGCCACTCAGGTGGCTGCTGCCGTCATCAACAATGGCTTGGATGCAGGTGCAAGGGGCCTGGCACCACGATGCCTCCCCACTTAGTTGAAGGCTTTGTTTCTGCCCTCTTATGGCCGGCGCACACAAGTGAGCAGCACACCTGGGCAACGGACGGCATTGGTTCCTGCGCCTGGTTGATTCCACGCTTTGTCCCATAGGCATGCAACCAAAGCAAACACCACCCCCCCGAGAAAGGAAGCTTCTGGGGGCCATGATGTCTTTTGCAGAGGATTTGTGTTTGAACTCGTGCAATATTATGGCACCTAGGAGCTTTCATTCTCGGCATGAAAAGCATTTCCAAAGCGACTCTCCTCTCTCAAAGGGAAGCCGCGGCAGAGAGGAGACAGGTTTTGCAAGGTGAGTATCCGGCGTGGCAGGAAGGGAGGGGAAAACAGTTGTGGGGAGTGGGGGGGGATATGGTGAATGTTGCAGAGCCTCTGCAGTTGTTCGTAAGGGTGAACAACTGCCGTGGTGCTGCAATACGCTTGTCACATAACGTCGAGTGTTAAGTGAACGCCCGTAACTCAGGGATTACCTGTATGCATAAATGTAGAAATAGTGCATGCCTTTATAAAGCGATAGCTTAAAATGCACATAAATTACAAGGTGAACAAAAAAGATGACAAATCACAGGTGAAAACTTGAATACCTAGTGAGATAGTTAAATACTTCATAGTTCTATGTTTTTGCCATTAATTTAATCTTGGATTAGGTACACTCCAAGTAAACTGAATCTCGACAGGCTAAAAGGAAAAGGAATACGTGTATTGAAAGTAATCACAAAGTGTGGGTGCGTACACATACATAAGATATAAACATGTCTCTGTGTGTGGAATAGTGATGCAATAAAAAATACTTACACAGAGAAAGCCAAATATTCTTTGGATCCGTTGATTGCTGATAAGCACCCAATCCTGCTAACCCACCACAGAGGAGACCAGCAGCTAAGGAAGGGACACTAGCTAGTTTAAGCAGATAACAGAAAACTTGGTTAGAAGATGAAATGTGTCAACCCAATGAACTGCAGCTGTATTTCTTCCAGCTCTACCCTAGTGGGAAAGATCATAAAAGGGCTTAACTTCAGAGAACTGTTTTACGTTTTGTCCCCCACAAATTACAGCAAGCCTTGCAATAAGCTCTGGCAGGAGGGAATTCCCTTATCAAAGCTACAAGTTAGCCATCCTTTTGGAAAAAAGAGAACTTGGGGGAGAGACACAGGAGGAATAAGGGAAAAATGCTACATAGGGCTTGCAAAACTTCATTTACAAAACTTGTTGCAAGGAGAAATCTGCAACAAGTGTAATTCTCTTTATGATGGCAAAGCTTTGAATAGTAAAACTTGCCTGTTTGTTTGCATTCACGCCTGAGAATTTTGTCCTGGTCCCTAGCATTCTGGCAGTTTATATTAAAGGTTGGGAATTAAAGATATTTTACATTGGAATTATGGGCTGCGTCGTTCTTAGAAACAAAAAAAGATAACTTCCAGAACTTGATGGCTTGCGTTGTGGTAAAATGGAGTATACGCTATTTCTACTTTTAAAATCCACCCGGAGCTTTCAGCAAAATGAAAAAAATCTAGTAATTGGTTTTGTTATCTTAAGCTGTAATGAAGTAGGACTTTCCAAAATACATTTTTATTGAGCTAACAAATTGACAGCAGAGGAAAGCTGCAGAAAACACAAGGGGATACTATACCTGCTTTTACATAGCCAGCTATTCCACCGGAGGCGACCAATGCAGCATAACCATAGCCAATCCAATCCACACTCATGCTGTAACATAAATACAAATAAATACCAAATCCAGATCCAGATTTTTAAAAAAGTATTCAAATTTTCTTTTCGGGTGAACCCATTGTAAAAATTTCATACCACCGACTTTAAAAAAAAAAAGACGAAACAATGTTTACCTATGCTGGAAAAAGGGTGTTCGCTTTCCGTTGGGAAAAAATAAATAAATACCGAATCTCGGGACAAAGTCCCACAAAATTTAGCCAGCCAGGGGAAGACACGTAGTTCTTCAAAAGCAGCTGACCCAGGTCCAGATGTGTTGCACTCAAGAATGCTTTCTCCGTTGCTTTAGTCGTCTGGACAAGCTACATGCCAATCTGGTTTGCAGATCTTTGAAAACTACCTTGCAAATTAATAATGGCGTGGGTCGCGGAGCATCGGACACGCATTTTAGCCGAATGGGTTGCACAAAACCCATCTTTGATACCGGCTTATACTTCATCGCGACGTTTTAACTCCAATTTCAGACACAGAAAAGGCACCATCAAGGCGCAAGAACGGGGTTTGCGTAACTCCACGGCTTCGCCTATTCGTCGCCACCTCCACAGGTGGCCTATTCATCGCCACAGATACGGTACGGGGCATATTCCAAGTTGTAGAGAGAGAGAGAGAGAAACTACCACTTTTCTGTGCCTGCGTCGGACCAATTGCACACTTGCCCCATGCAGGTTTAAAGCATGCAAATCGGAAAAAAATCGCTACGTCCCCGCGCTACCTGTGCAACTAAAACAAAAACCTATTCCGATTTTCCTCCTGGAATTCTCCCCCGCTTCTGCTAAAAACAAATCTGGGATCGATGGGGCTACTGCAAATTCGTTAGCTAGAGTACCAGTGTTTCTCAACCTTGACAATTTTAAGGCATGTGGACTTCAACTCCCAGAATTCCACAGCCAGCATTGCTGGCTGTGGAATTCTGGGAGTTGAAGTCCACATGCCTTAAAATTGTCAAGGTTGAGAAACACTGAGCTAGACGAAGCTCAGGAGTTCCAGTCTCCCTCCCGCTAAAGGGCAACTTGAAGAGGGGAAGGGGGTAAAAAAGCAACTCAGAAGCGAGGCGGGGGGCCGTCCGGACTAACCTTCCGCAAAGGTCGCGCGTGCAAGGAACGATACCGGGACGAAAGAATCCCACGTTCCGGTGCCCGCCCACAGGCTCCTCTCGCGGTAAGTCGCGTCGAGGCATGCTCAGAGCAGGGCGAGCAGCAACGCCCCCGCCCTTCCCCAACCCCGAGTAAAAACTGTAGAATAAAAAGTGCAATCGGAGCTGAGCTCGGAGCTTTCGGTCTGCTACTGCCAGGAGTCTACCCCCCGCCAGCCCGCCCGCCCCAGCCCAACCTTGTTTGTTTGGAAAAGGACAGGTTACATTACAATTACATCTGAATGCTAATCTGGCGAAAAGGTTTATTTATTTATTTATTATTATTTAAATTTATATACCGCCCTATCTCCCTTACGGAACTCAGGGCGGTGAACAGGCAATAATAAAAATCACAATAAATATTGAATAAAAAGCCTGCTCTAAAATGGGGGTCGCCAGCCGGCATTGACTGGCCGACGGCACCCTAAGGAGGCCCTCTCTGTGGGAGCGGACTGGTCGAAGGGAGACATTTGGTAGGAGGCGGTCTTGCAAATATCTAGGTCCATTGCCATGGAGCGCTTTAAAAGTTGTTACTAACACCTTGAAGCGCACCCGGAAGGTCACCGGCAGCCTGTGCAGCTTGCGCAGGAGAGGTGTTACATGGGAGTATCTAGAGGTCCCCAAAATCCCCCGCGCGGCCGCATTCTGAACTAGCTGGAGCCTCCAGGTGCACCTCAAGGGGAGCCCCATGTAGAGAGCGTTGCAATAGTCCAGGTGGGAACTAATCGCACAGGTAATAGTCCAGGCGTGATAATTGCACAGGCAATATGTGTGTAATATGAATTGAGCCACCATAGGTGGCAGCACCACTTAACCGACCTTGGCTGGTCGGAAAGATTTAAGGCAGTAGATTTAAGGCAGTAGAAAGATTTAAGGAGTAGTGGGCAGAGCGCTAGAAACGGGGGTCCTCAACCTTGACAACTTCAAGACTTGTGGACTTCCAGCAACCAGGCCGCACAAACAAGCAAAGCCCCATTCGCGGGATGCAGGCAGCACACAAAACCACGCCTCCTCCGATCCGTGGAAAAACCTTTCTCCATGTAACCCAGGGCTGGCTGAGGAATTCTGGGAGTTGAAGTCCACAAGTCTTAAAGTTGCCAAGGTTGAGGACCCCTGACCGGTCCCTGGTGCCCAAAAGGTTGGAGACCTCTGCTGTAGAGCGCAAGGGGGAATACGTATCAGCCAGGTTCTCTACATTTCAAACCACAAGGCAGATCTGGCTTCCCTTTAGGGATATTATGAAATGTATCTTCTGAGACCTCGTAAGGTTAAAACAGTAAGGTGACTCAGCAGAAATATTCCATGCTGTTTCAAGAGGATTAGATGAGTAGGATCATGTAAGATGAGTAAGGATCTGCTTGGAAATGTTTAAAACTCCTCCAGGGTCAGTGGTTTCTGGTGCTAGGATCTGGTGGCCCATCGTCTAATATTCTTTGCTTAATAATTTGTTGCATTTTTTTTTCAAACCCCATAGATAGTGAGGCATTAAAAGAAATTCAGAGTGAAGCCAGCTGGGTTCTATGCCCTTCTGTGCCAATTAGTCTAGAAGTCTCCTGAGATGTTAAGCTACTGGTTAATGCGTTTCATTCAAGACAATATAATTGGTTAAAGTCTAGCCGTGAATACAACTGCATAGTTTACTGCTGGGTTGGGCATGCATGCTGCACTTGGCAATGCCTAGAGCAGGGCTTTTCAACCAGCGGTACAGGTACCACCTGTGGTACATTGGCACCTGGCAGGTGGCAGCACCGCACAAGCCTGAGCGAGAGATGGCTGAAGCTGCAGGGCTGTCAGGGCTCAGCGGAAGCGCCAGGATCAATGCCGCTTTCCAGTTGATCAGCGCTTCTTCAGGGCTGTCAGGGCTCAGTGGAAGCATCAGGATCAGTGCCAGGCTCCAGTTGGAGCTCGGCACTGATCCTGGTGCTTCTGCTGAGCCCAGAAGAAGCATCAATCAGCTGGAATGTTGCAGCATCTCCAGGGTCTTGTGATTTACATTCAGATGCTTAGCAACTGATTCATATTTATGACGGTCACAGTGTCCCAGGGTCATGTGAAGTGACCAAAACCTGCTGCAACCATCCAGCAGACGGGAGGAATAAAAACCAAACACCCCCCACTCCACCCCTGCTGCCAATCCTCAACAGAAATGCTCACAACAATGAAAACCTCGGACAGGAGGAAGAGTGCCACCTGGCGGGCAGGCAGGTGTCTTGCTCGACTGTGGCTTGGGGGGCACTTCTTTCAGTGCCATTGTAACTTCAAACAGTCACTAAGCGAACTGTTGTAAGTCGAGGACTACCTGTACTTCATCACTTTTTTCCTTTTGGGGGGGGGGGTCATCAAGTTTTTGACACCTTGCTAGGCGACTGGTGGTACTCAGATGTTGCCATATCCTAAAAGTGGTACAATGGGTGAAAAGGTTGAAAAGCCCTGGCCTAGATGGGGAGAGATGGAGAACTGTTCACGTGTGTGTACATGTGTGTATGGCTGTGTGCATTTATGCCAGCAGAGTAAAATTAGGCATTTTCCTAACATTTTGACATGTTGAGCCCATCGCTCTTCTAATTCATCATCCATATAACCAGGAGATGGGCTTTCACACCAAGCTCAATCACAAGCCAGCTAACCCATCATCAATTTGACCAGGAGATGGTCTCTAAAACCAGGCTCAAGCACAAAGCCAGGTTTTCTAGGCTTACGGAGGGCCAACAGGAAAAGAGCTAATATAATATCAGGGGAAATGACATTCCAAAAGTCAGGTGCCTGTCAGAAAAGGATCTCCATCTGGACCGTGCCAGCTGCCACTCCCTAGCTGATAGTACCTAGGTTAGGGGTAGGCAACCTTGGCTCTTTTATGACTCGTGGACTTCAACTCCCAGAATTCCTGAGCCAGCATGGCTCAGCTTGGAAACCTCTCACTTTCCCCTCAGCATGGCTGGCTCAGGAATTCTGGGAGTTGAAGTCCACGAGTCATAAAAGAGCCAAGGTTGCCTACCCCTGACCTAGGGGATGCCCCTCCTGCCAGATTTTATAAGATAGGTAAAAACAACTGGGGAGAGGTGGTCCCATAAGTAAGTTGGTCCTTGGTTGTCTGAAAGGTCATTCCCAGGTATTTATAACTTGACATTGTCAGCCTTACTAGGTAGGCCAGAAAGGAAACACAACCAGATACTGTAAGACAGGGGTGTCAAACTCGCAACGTCACGTGACGTGTCACGACATATTGCGACTTTTTCCCCATTGCCGGAGCTGGGGTGGGTGCGGTTTTGGCATGATGCATCTGGCCTGCAGGCCGGCAATTTGACACCCCTGCTGTAAGATAGCTCTGCTTTACTGTAAAGGTACATTAACATAATCTTGCAAGTCTGAAAATATAATTCTCCCATGGTCTCCTTTGCAGCCCAAGAAACTAAAGAGAGTCCCTTCTGAGAGTCCTTTTTGTCCCACCTACTATCCAGCCTCTTATCTGACTGTTCCCTAGGCAGCATCTTTTTGACCCATCTCCCAAGAACTTCCCCACATACCATTATCTCTATTAACAGTTTATGTTTCAAAGATCTTTAGACAAAAATAATCATTTTGTCGGATGCTATGATAGCCACTGACCAATAGGAGGCACTGTGTTAGCCAGTTTTATCCTTCTTGGGATTTGTCAGGTTCAGGTAAGCTGCAGATAGCCTTGACTTATGACCATAACAGGGATCAGAAAATTCTTCATTAAATGGTGTGATTGTTAAATGAGACATCACGTGACCACACCCGATTTTAATGTACAACTTTTTTTTTTTTGCTTCGGTTGTTAAGTAAGATATTACCTGACTGTGGTTTGCCACCTTCCCTGCCGGCTTTCCCCATTGACAGGTTACTGAAAACTGGCTGGAAAGACAGTAAACGGCAATCATGTGATTGTGGGTTGCTGCAACCACTGTAAACGTGCAATGGTTGCCAAGCACCCAAATCACAATCACATAACTGGGGACAGTGCAATAGACAAAAGTGAAAATACTGGTTCTTCAGCCGTAGGAAGGAGGTAGCGGCCAGCCACATCTGAAATCTTGCCAAGAAAACTGCAGGGATTAATCCAGCAGTCGTTCGGAGTCAACACTGACTTGAAGTGTACACAATCCTTGTGCAATCTGCACCGGGTCAATGGCCGTTACAGATGAAGTGGGAAGCCCAATTGACAACTGATTACATCTCGCCAAGTAGACTTCTATTAACATCAAAGCCATGTGCCAAACATCATGAGAAGCTGGCCTCTCGAAAGCTTTGGATAGAGCTGACAGGCAGAAGACCAGCATGAAATATCCTTATTGCCCTGAAATGTTGCAGGGTGGCATTCCTGACCAACAGTTCGTTTTCTATCCAAGTGTGATATATTTGTTGTTTGAGAAACATGGGCCCAGCAAAGGTTAGTAATGAATGGTTTTCAGTATTTTATATTCTTGAAGCTCTCTCCTTCACCTTATGCCACAGTTGGAGATGATTTCAATGCTGGGTGTAGGACCAGATGACAACACATTGTATATATCTTGTATCATTTCTACCCCTCCCCAAAGGACAAGTGCTTTCCTTTGTACATTATTCCAACGATCAGAAGTCTACCTTTGCAAAAGTTTATCACAGAGGACTTGCTCAATTTAAACAACTCTTTATCAAATGAACCTCCAGCAGAAGTCACTTACTGAGCAGGAAATAAAATCAGCCTTATTGAATATATAACTCTGGGAGGAAACCTTCTTCAGTTCATAGATCTGTTTCAGGTTTCCACATACTTCGATAGTGATCATCTGCTATTAACAGGCTACCTTACATCTCTGTCTGCTTTTGGGTGAATGAAAGACTGTCTGACATTCCAGTGACAGAATTTGCCAGGTTAAATGGTTTGCACATTTAAATGATGCCTCACAGCACATCTCAGCTCTGAGTTCTTGCAGAAAACCCATCATTTGGTACTCAGCAGATTCAGTGACTTCACTCCTGCAGGAGTATGATAGACTTCTCTTTGAACAACAATAATTTTTGACTATACAGTATTCTGTCCA